GGTAGGAACGCGGTCGGTGTGAAGATAACCTCTATAATAATATAGTGTACCAACGACTGAACGACAGACACGATCGACGACACAAAGAACAACATCCGACAAAAAATAAACCGAAATGAAAAAAAAAGTAAAGAAATTATAGAACCGTCAGAGCGCAATATTCATCACGTTGACACGTTATCGTATCGGGGAATAGTATAATATTACAACATAGCTTAGCGCTGCAATGCCAGAATATCAAGACTCTACTGTACGTACTTATTAAGAGATAACCCGGTGGCCGGTACCTACATAATAATATTATAATTGCGGAGGGCTATGGACGTTATATTAATATTATTGTTATTATCAATATATATGTATAAACGTCGCTATCCAATACTTCAAAATTCTACTGATGCATGGATATTAAAATATTATGTGCTATAAAATTCATCCACCCGTAACTTGTGAAACATAATGTATCTTTATATAACACGATTACTATAAACATAATATGTTAATTTATCATAAATCATAATAATGGTAATTGGTAATTGTCAGATCACTGTTATAACGAGTGATATCATACTTACACAATAATATAATATTATGTTAAATTATCATTCTATCGTTGAGTGGTTGAGTGAGTTTTTAAATGTCTTTATTTTCGTGTTCCGTACTTCTGTGTTAATCGGTAAAGTCTTCAACTTAGTTTATTATCCTTGGTTGACAATTATTTAGTTTTCCAGTTTACGGAGATGGATTGAAGTTTAAATTAAAAATATGTAATGCAAAAACATAAGTAGAGAAGTATAATATGTCAAGTGGAGCAATAGCTCCCTAATAAATACACATTTTTCTATCAGAATACTGTCATAAAATATGTATATAGTGTGATAAAATTATATAGCAAAACAAGTTTATATTATAATTTTTTTAAACTTTTCTATTTAAGTTAACTTTATTTTGAGAAGCCTCTATGGCCGTTATTTATAATTTATTGAAGTCACGCATAGAGTTCATGGTGTCTATATATTATTAATTATTATGCATATGTTTGTAAAATCAAAATAAAACCTTTATAAAGCGGTCACGCGAAAATTCTACTTATAAAACGCCAAGGTTAGGTTAGGTTAAAATATAATAAATAAAAATAAATGCATTCAAGTTTACCAATATACGTATATACATTATTTGGGCTAAAGTTTTAAATATTAGTTATTACACATTTCATTAAATATTTTATAATTAATGGTCATAAAACTAGCTGTGGTTTTAGCGGTTATACAAAATAGAAATTAAGTGTTGTTCGAAATACGAAAACAAGTATTATCATGAGAGTGGAACAATACGTGACGTTCGCAGCTTGCAATAGGTTCGCTCCAATCGCTGGTTATTGTATATTTGTATGTGACGGCCATAACATCGTTTAAAATGACATTTAGTTTTAGTACTGATATTAGCATAGTATGCCGGTTAACATTTTTATTGTAAGTTATAATAATTGACACTCATAGTTACATCGACACATTATCGTTTGAAATGCTCTGTTTTTATACATTAAAAATTTCGTGAACCAAATTTTTGTAAGGCGGTGGTGGGCTATACGACGATAGAAAAAACTTAACTAGATAACACAAAATATTTTGTCAACACATTTTTTTTCATATTTTGTAATATCTAAAGAAAACAGTGATATTATTTTGTTATGGATTGGTAAAAAATTAATTTTCCTACAATACTTTTTACTTTATTCTATAATAGTGATGTATAATACGTTTTAATTCAGGAAAATAAAACTAACAGAAAAACAAACCACGGAAATAACCCACGAAAAAAAAATAAAATTATATGAGCCTTACATTTTATTTGTGTTCTTATTTGTTTCTTTTTCTTTTTATTATCCAACTATTGATAAGCATTTTGACATTTTATTTAATTTATATTATTGAGTACTAACAAATATAAATTAAGTAAACTGTATTTTATTCATTCAAATGGGTATTTCTGCAGTACTTAAAAATAATATGTAGTATAATTGAAAATTTCTTAGAGCTATTTCATTCAACACATGGAATAAACTTGATGAACTTAATTCATTTTATGTGTTCTGTAATTATCTAATTATTAAATTTTTGATTACTCAATTATTTTGTAAACTATGGAAATTGACTGACGAGTAACGTATCACGAATCACGGTTATACTAATATTATTTATTATTATTGCTATGAATATAATTATTATCTATTATCTATATTATTATGTTATACTATCTTTAATCAACAAAATATTAAATAGAACAGTTATTATTATAAAGCACTAGCATGGACTTTTATTTCCGTGTCATTTTTTTCACCTACCAATATATTTATGTGTAGGGAACTCAATATTTAATAATAATAAATAACGTTATAAAAAGTTTTGGAAACTATTAGTTTTTTAATACCTAAGCAATTTATCTTATACTTCATATTCTTATGTTTTTCACTTGTATATATTATATATTTTTGAAATGTGTTCGATAAAATCCGATATCTATTAACATGAATACCATTAGCTGGTACATCCTTTACACATTACAGTTACAGCGTTAATTTTAATACACAGTTTTTTAAAATTATATATTTATATTTATATCTGTTAAAAATATATAAATATAAATATTTACTGAAATTTTAATTTTAATATTCCTGAAAATGTTGCTAGATACACCAAAGAAAAGAATAGTAATAATAAATATATGGGTATTGAGTATTATTTTATTAATATAATATATAATATGTTTATAGTTTATAGACTATTTAAGTGCTTTAAGTTCGTTAATGTTTGATAAAATATGTTGAAAGAATAGATTTAATTTATCTTATAAGATAAATAAATTACAACTAATATTTTAAAATCCCTATAATAGACCATCTTTCAAATCCATCATCATAACTATATTATTCTTAGTACATAAAGTTAAATAACTTGATTGATTTTGATATATTAACAATTTCAAAAAAATTATGTGCTTATTAATTTACTGTAAAAAGGTTCTCGTTTGAAAAATAGAAATTTGTGTATCCACTAAACTTCATGCACTATAAAAAAGCTAAGAATTTTAAAATATGATGTATAATTATGCTTAAAAATTCTAAAAACCAAGTTTTGAATAACTGCATTAATAAAGAAAAATGAGAGTGAACATGGTTGGTGAATCATTTTGTATCTATAAACCTTCGGTTGGTTGCAACTTATATCGAATACGCCAAAGATGGGAATTCTAATATTAAATCGTATTAAATTGTGTATTTTTCTAAAGGCAGTAATTTCAAATATATATTATAATTTAATAAATTATTATAATAATAAAATGAAATAGGTACTTCCCATGGACCCACAGTGCAGCTGTAAACATGATTGTTGTTATTCGGATGTGTGTAATAATAATATCTTCGATGACGGGTTTAACGTTATATTATATAGAACGAACGAACTACAGTAATATTGATGCGTATTATAATAGGGCGTTTTACGATTTTCCACAAGCTCGCCAGTTTATTACAGTCGTCCCATCCGTCGCTCTATGTTATTATGCCCGACCGTCCGTATTATTATTATATATATAATAATTAATATAGTAGGTAGGTAACCTATACGCGTTTACACAATGTAACCGTCCTACTGGGCTTTTACCTGCCGCGTGCAGCCGACTAAAGACCATCTCTATAATATAATCTCATCGTTTTGCACGGTACCTATAAACACGTATCTTTATAACAAAAAAGTAACCTAAGCTATATACAAGTAGGAGGTATCTATCCCTAATATATAATATGGTTTGTAATGTATAATTGTAATATTTTTATAAAATGTAAACGAAAAGATAAAGAAAAAAATTATCGTTATATAGGTACAATTATTTTACATTAAACCACACAATCTGCCATAGTAGATAATTATATTTTGCAGAAAATAAAATAGGTAAGTTTTGTTATACTTTTTGAATACATATAGAAACTACAAAGAACCTACATCTTACCGTATGTATCATTGCAATCATACATTTTCCTTACTATATATTATATATTTATACGCCACAACTTCACCACCTTTACTCGGCCACTAAAAATAATTAAAATTAACAAAACTATACTTACCAGAATAATCATCGGGGATGAATAATTCATATTTTTTAATATTTACACAAATCAGCTCTGCAACAAAGTTTTTATTTTATTCCAAAGTAATTTAGAAAACACCCTATGAATATTAGACACAACAACATTTATCGCTTTCAGGCCTCGGTTATATTAATTATATTTTCTAAAATGCTAATAAGAAAAATATATGTCACTAAAATCTGATAGAGGCAAATATATCCCATGATGCAATAATATAATATATCATCAGAAATGCCATTTATGGTTTTAAACAAGAACGCGAACGTTCACACAAGTGGTGAGACGGTAATTTGTATGACGTATTTGCTTCGGCTACCGTTGTAAATATTAAAATTATTTTTATTTGAGTATATTATACCCAACATAGCGCCTGCTATAATAAGCTAATGGGTATCCGGTGCAATAGAATACTAGGTATATTAGTATATTATGTGTGCATACTGTATAGTACTTACTTGGGAACTCTGAGGAGGTCCTGTGAACCGTGTGGTGTTCGATGTCGTTTCACACCTAAATACCTAACATAACCGCTCACATATACCAGTAATATCGATACGATATGTTAAATTATAAGCCTTCTTTATATTTTTCGGAACGCGAGAAAATAACACTCCTCGTCTCTTCTGTAATTATGTTATAGTATATGTATGATGATATAATATATAAAATAAATATGTAACTACGTGTTTAGATTTTGTTTTTGCAACAGTAATAAACGTGTTATGCAGTATTAAACGATTTATTCATAAAAAATATAATACATTAATTATTCTATGTACATGATATATAATTATAACATAATAATAACAACAATTTAATAATAGTAGTAATAATACAATTCAATATTTTGTATTTATGTAGATATTTTTGTACATTTCACCGTATGAAAAAGAGCGATAAATATGGTAAATCAACTATATATTTTAGCTGGTGTAGATTAGGTGTATTATATACATATAGGTACTACCATCTACTATACTATTGATCCTCACTGATTCCCAGTAAGGTTTTGATACTAAAATCTGTAAGATTTACGTTTCGTACCGTTTCAGGGGACGCCACGACAGCCGCTGGAGCGGCAACAGTTTCAGAGGTCCCGGCAGAAGAAATCTGCGTGGCCATCGCTTGATGCCGTTGATATTGATACCATTGACATTGTGCATTTTTCCGGTGGCTAATTAACGTGCGCATTTGACAGAAGCCTTTGCCACAAGATTCGCAAGAGAACGGTTTATCCTTCATGTGAACATATCTATGAAAACAATTTGGAACGTTAAAAATAAAATTAAAACAAGAAATACAATTTATAATAATATTTTTAATTCAAATCGTATGATATTTGTATTTAATTAATAAATCAAAAACATTACGATATCGGGGAACTCTATGAATAATAAGATTTCTTTTAATTCCTATAAGTGTTTCACGAAAAAAAATCATTAAGTTACCTATTATCCACGCGTATTACATGCTGACCTATATAATGGATAGACACAAAATTGAAAATCAAATAAGAAAAAGATTACATTTTGACCTATTTATACAGCTGTTGATAGATATTGATCATGTAATGTAGGTATATGTGTATAGTATGAGTACAATATTAAACTAAAAGTAATGAAATATAATGCAACCATATTAATATAAAAGTACTGATATTTTGGTTGTATTACACTATAACTGTATAACTTCATAGACAGTATGTGTATATATTATATTATTATATATACACGGATGTATAGGAATAAGATTTTAGTAACCCTTATACTTTAAAAAATGTTTATATTTTAGTTTTGAGGAATAGTTGACAAGTTTACCGATGTTGAATGAATTCACAAAAAAATAATTTTTGACAAATTTAATTTAATTTTACTATTGCCTACAGGAGATAACTGTTTTTATGTTATAATTACTTATGATCTCTGAGGTGGTCTTGTCTGCGAAATGCCTTGCCGCAGACGTCGCATGGGTACGGACGTTCATCCGTGTGAGTCCTGACGTGTATGAGCAGGTTGTACGATTTGCTGAACTCTCGGTCGCAATACGTGCAAATGTACCGTTTCTTGGGCTTTCCGCCTGGCGTAGTTGCCGTGATCACAGCCATTTGCTTCTGGACGTTCCTGGACAAAGCCACGGCTCGGGCGTAGCCCTCTACCTGGCCGCCAGCGAATGCGCTTGGATGTCGCCGGAATCTCGCCCAGACCGCGTCCACGTACAACGAAGAGAAATTGCAGTCCAGCAGACCCCCTGCGCCACCGAATCGGGCAGCGGCGAACTTCATTGAATCTCCGGTGGCCATCATGGTGGTAGTGTCTGTCTATGAAATTGTCAATACATCGATTAGAAAATTAGTTAAGTCAGAAAGTTGAATGACATTTGTTAAAAAAATCATTAGGATAGGTCTAATATACCGCTCTGCTACTGCGTGCGTACTATAAATAAATACGACACGAACGCGTTATAAGGAATAGAAAAATGATGAGTTCAAGAGTCATTTTCAACTGCGGTGATTCTGTACACATACGTTTCGGACGTATTGTGTCATATGATAAATCATATAAATATGATAAATCATATAAATCACTCGGAGATACAATACTGCTGAATTGGCTATGTTAAACGAATTTGTGGACATCGCGTTAACGTTCAAATGGGAGAGCGTAGGGATTATCGTAATATCACTGTTACGTCTAAATACATTATAAACTTTAGGAAATGTTTCAACTGTCAAATTTTATAAAGAAAATTTGGAAAAGAAAATTGACTTAGGACGGGAACGTGCACCTGAAATTACGGTCAATTTGAATGATCATTAAAGTGGTTTCGGTAAGAACATAAAACGGCTATTAGAAAGTCCGTGTAGAAATGATTGAGTAAAAATATATTATAGGTTAGAGATACATGAAAGGTAGAATTACTGCAGTGAAAGGCAGCAACAGATGGTAGAGATAAATGGATGAGAAGGCATTACTTAGAGGGATGGTCTTCAAATTCAAAACTCGAAGTTAAAAATAAAAATAATGCACAAGTGTAGGTATATCATATATTATATTATAGACATAAGTGCTACATAATGCTATTTACATAGGCTACTATATAATGTTATTTCACGATATTCGTAACCGGTATTACGCAAGTGTTTCATAAACATACAAGGTGGCTTCATAGTCTTATTTGTTACCGTCGACAACATAATTATACTAATAATGCAATATTTTTTAAACATGATTATTATTTAACGAAATATTATTTCATTTATTAGCTAAACTTTATATGAACATTTTTGTTTTTGTGATAGTCTCAGTTATAGCTGATTTATATATCTACTTAAATAATTTTTAGTTTAATTATTGATAAAATATGAGAGTTACAAGGTTTAAGATTGATTAGTGAGTTGATCTATGCACCAATAAAATATAATTTAATATTTAGTTGATGAATGACCGTGAACGAGAACGAGCATACTAGATATATACTGTACCTGTATATAATATAATTACGATAGGTATACTGTGACTAGGGCAGAAAGGTCTTGAAAACACCGGGAGGAGTTTCATTACTGGGTTATTATATATGATATAGGTAAGTGTTTTATTTTAAATGACTGTTCGTTCAGTAGAATAGTAGCCGTGACTCACACCATATGTGTATATTATATAATACATAGGGTCATATTTTGGGTCCTACAGTTTAATTTGATTATCGGGTTCACATTCAATATTATATAGGCAGGTAATTGTGCATTTTACGCATTATATAGAGTATAGACCTAGTATTCAAAGATGAACTAGTAGGTATATAATATATATATTATTATCGGGCCCGTTATAAAGTCGCAAAAAACATATATTTACTCAGATTTTATTTTTAGGTATTATTTAATTTGGGTGAAAAATACATTTAATTTTATAAGTGCATACTACAGCTAAAACATTTTATACTTGAGAATAAAAAAAAAAACTATATGTAGTCAAACGGGAGGTATTTTGTTTTTGAAGTGTATTATCAAATAGCTATTTATTTTTTTACCACAAACACAAGTTTAATGTCAATTTTTTTATTGTTACAAATACTATTTTATTTTATAAACATTATTATAGTCATTAAAACAAGCGTATATCAATGTGTAACATGTAATATAAGTAGCTTATTAATTGAAATTCTATATGTTTTATTGGAACAATATTTTTAATTTCTGAATCGCCATTTTGTGGCTTATAATTTTTGTATACAATTTAAATCACGTTTTTTTTTTATCTTTAATAAAAATATACATGTTTAATTTTACTTCAGAATAGGTAAAATTACATTATCGCTGGGTAGATTATGCGTAAATGATAAAAAGTTAACAACTGTTATTCATACGTGTAAGCCGACAAAAAATTGAAATTTTCAAAATAATAAAGAAAGTTGAAAATGAAAAAAATAATAAAAAATAATAAAAATTTACCTTGGTTTTCTGGTCAGGATATTGTGTTATAGCACTTTACTCGGCCGGCGTCTGTAAGTGTATTTGTAATATATTTTAAACGGTTGTCAACAGCCAACGTATAATAGAAAATAATTATATTATATTATGGTGTAGAACGTAGATGGATATATTGTGCGGTTGGCAACTAGGGGATGCGATTGTCGACGGTCGATGGTGAGCGGTGGTCCGTTGTCGGGTGACTGACGATTGCGCTGCCGTAGGCCACCGCCACCGCTGTAGCCGATAAGGGTTGAAATCAGTGGAGGCGGCGAGGGTGGGTTCTTGCGGACGCGGCGCCCATTGGTCGCGAACATCGGCGGCGGCGGCGTTAAGATCCGTGAAATTTCTGTCGGTCCCCACACGCATGTATACCCCGAACGAGAGGAGGTGTAGTGTACTTACGATCTGGACAATATACATGTATATATTATACGTGTAAAAGGGAAATAATAATAAAAATCATCCCTATACATATACGCGGTGGGTTTTTATATTATATTGTCAGGGCGCGACGAGACAGGCTTTATATATATATACGGTTTTTGGTTTAATGATACGGTTTAACGCCTCCGCTTGTGTATATGTGTGTGTATGAGTGTCATCCCCGGTTCAAGCCTGTAATTAAAAAAAAACCTGCCTGGAGCTGTTATTAAATAAAAAAAAGTACGCTTTATACAATGGTGTACCGCTCACCAGCGAATATGACGCAAGTACAATAATATTATAATGCATTTAAACAAACTCTTATACGGCCGTACGTGATGCATATATTATAATTTTTAATATATATATATATGTATTGTAACATGTGTGTGGACAAACAATGGAAAGATAAAATATTACATAGTAACGCATCAAAAGTCATGATTTGGATGCGGCGACGAAATTGTTCCGAGTGTATAGTAAGACAATACTATAATAGTAGAATAATAACAACAGTAATAATAATATAATATGATGTGGCCGCTTGTGCTGCGCGGGACAATAATATTATAATGACTGAGTATATAATATGGGTGCAGCGTATCTAAAGACTAAAATATTATATTTAAGTTAGTTGTAGTGAAAATTCAAAAAAAAAAAAAAAAAACAAATTGTTTACTGCGATACATCATATTATAATATATTGTGATGTCCACGAAATAGTGATGAAAAATATATCGACCTAATGTGATTATACCTAGGTTGAAAAGGATAAATATTATATGGTATGCCAAGGAGAACAAATAATATATATATATATATATAATACGCGCTTTGTTCATTCTTCATTTTAAATAATATTTTCCAGACTCCTGCTGTTCTAGAGAAATCGTAATTCTATATTATAATAAATGTATATATTCACAAAAATATAATATTATTAAAAAGAAAAACACACATTAAATTATCATACGTAGTTCTCTGATTTACACGTATCGGACAAGTGTATTATATATATTGACTAAAATGTAGGGCACATATCACATAATACGAGTTACGAGTTGAAGTAGTAGAAACCTATTGCCAATTTAAATTATGTTTATTAAACATTAAGTAATAAACGCGTCCATGAAGAATATCACGATGTACAGTACACTAGCCACACGTGATGCGATATTGACAGTTGCTCTGTAAAGAAGATTTTTGAATGTTTTTAGACGGTAATTTTATCCAGACGTTGAGATCTAAGTCATTTACATTATGCTATTATGTCCTTGTGCTACGACGGTACAGATGAATAAATCGATATTGACAGTAAAGGCTCTATAGTCCGCTCGGTTATCCCATTCACCTCATGTGGTTTATCTGCCTACGTCATAGAAATATCGGATATTCACTATAATTGTATTTATCATTGATTTAAATTCGTTATTATTATTGCTTTCTCTTCCGGTTTCGTAAATACTTACCTGCAATTTACCTGTAGTTACATCGTAGAATACGAGTGTACACACCACTTATAATTGCTATTATATTGCCATTATTTTTTTTTTTTTACTTTTGAGCAAATTTAAAACATGAAACACGCGCAATAGCCAATGGGTCCAGTTATATAATTTTGTACACAGTGCGCATACGACCTAGGTGTATAAATTAAGCTGTATTGTTATATAGGCGGACATCGCATTCATCATAATTACCGCTCTAAATTGCGCTAATATTTCAACTCTACCTCGCACAGCGTAGGTTTTTTAGTATTTAGGTACATGTAGTGTGAACATCGTAATTCATAATAGATGTATAATGTGTATTTTTGTCTTAATGTTATACGTGTTTTAATGTATTATTATAGCGTTACTCAACTAATGTTTTGTGTATGGTGCATACACTATTTAGAATGATGAGAAACGCTTGACAAAAATGTGAATAATTGAAACAAAGTTTAAGATCAAGATATAATTTTATATCAAGTTCTTATTTATTATTGAATAAAATAAAATATAAATGTTCAAAAGTTCATAAAATGATAAACACAAATTATTATGTTTATGTACCAATATTATAGGTAATAACATTAATAACTAATAGGTATTATAATTTATAAGGTACTGCGAAATGATATTTTTAAATTTTCTAAAATAAATGTGTTATATATATATATTAAACATGTAAAATACATATGTGTTAGTATTACCTATTATTATCAGTATACAAGATATTATACAAGACATAGTAATTTTTAATATTTAAGATTATTACTTCATTTGTTGAAATTTATTTTCGTTAAGTTAAAATATTTTATAACAAAACTTATCAGAGATTATAAAAATATAATGATGTACTCATGCTATATAATTTATAATATGTGTGAATGTTAGGTTAAAGAAAACAGTGTGATTTACTCAAATTAATAATTTTCACATTCAATCGATAGATTTCGATTATTATTCATTATTATGAAATAAGTATAATTCTTTGGTGAAATAAAAAAAAATAATATATTAATAGCTTATATACTACTAAATACTGTTGCATAATTTATTGTAATAACTAATAAGAAATATTAATATTCATTGATATATATTTTATAATTTAATTAAATGACAAAGTAATTAGATAAGAATAACTGACAGCTTCTTTTCGATATTTAATAGTGAAATTACAATTACAACAGCTACAAATATTCATATTATATCTATACAATACAACAGCAACTTGTCATTATGAGAGATTTTTGTATAAATTAGTTTTATCTCATCGTTGGTTTAATTTAAGTAAGATGCTACGACATTATATAATATAGTATATATTGTTTTAGATTCTTATTCATGGGTTCTAATAATTATCTTTACATTAATATAATGTAGGTACTTAATTTATATCAAATTAAAGTTTTGAATTATTGTTAATATCATTTTGTACACAGATAAATATATGTTATATTATACGTTATTGTTACGGTATGTAGTAGCTATAAATACGTATTATTCAATATAGATATATATACTATCTATAAAAATTATTCAGTAGGTTTGTGTAGTAAAAACAATTGACGTATTACTCTATATGATTGTCATTGAGATAATTTAAAGAACACAACGTTTTGCTTGTATAATATTAAATAATTAATAAATTGATGTAAAATGCATTATATTTTACTGTATACAGCTATTATTAATGTATAGTTGGTTATTATAATATTGTTTTTATTCAAATGAAAAATATGTGATTTGATTAACGGGTATTTACTACGTATAATATCATGTTTATATTTTTAAACGATATATTATAATTATTAAGTAAGTTATATATAAATAGATAAGTTGTAGACATTATTTATATTAATTACTGTACAACTATATAGTATATATATATATTAAAATACTTAGGTTTTTTGGAGAATTTGAAGATGTTCATAACTGTTTTGATTTATCGAACGTATTTAAAGTGATTTCCAGCCACTCATAAGATTTAATGCATTATACAACCTACATTAATGACAGCCAAACACTCAATCGCGAACGATTTAAAAATCGATCTTGCAGTAGATTTTCTTTTTAGTCAATTTTATCAAATGCTAGTGGCAATATAACTTGATAATCGGCAATAATTTATTTGTATGAAATAGAATTTTTTCACATGAAAATTATTAAATCTGAACACCGAGTTACACTTTCCGATGACCATTTATAATAGCGTCTACGTTTAACAGTAGCAACTATATATTCTTCAGATTATAATCAACTCGCTAATGGCCATCAGCATACCGGTATGCAAATATGACCCTTTCACATCAACGAATTAATATTTTAATTTGTTTATTATAGTTAATCTCTGTAGTGACTATTCGTTACAGAGTTAAGAAATAGCTAAAATATTTTTCATCCGTTTAATATAAAACGAATACGATCAAATTAAAAACCATATCCTAACGCGCACTGCTGTTTTACTAAATAAAACGTTCAGATCGGTTTACCACTTAGAATACAATGTATTCACTATACTACTGATATAATGTAGGTTCACATAAGTATATTATTTGGATTTTATTTTTTAACATTTATGTCATCAGATATATGCGTATTTTGTGTTTGAAATGTTGTGTAAATGTTGCACGATAAACATATACACTTTACCGCGCATAAAAAAGTATGAATATTAAGTTATAGATTATTAATATGAATTCAAATTACGAGTAATTGTAATATGGGTGGAAAATAAAACTACGCTGTTAACAAAATATAGTAGCATGCAATATACTTAGATTATCAGAGTTTAAAATGTTTCATTAATTTTCGTATGACGTTTTTTTCACTATTACTAACCACATCAACGTTCTGAATTCTATATTAAACTTACAAGAATAAGCAGAAAAATTTTGCAAATGTGATTATTCAACTACTATGATGAATATTATGCTTCGTGCATAATATTATTAAATGAACGACGATGATGTAATGTTATTTATTCGTATATAATAATAGTTAATAACGGTAAATATAGTGACTGTATAGTATGTACCATGTGAGCCCATCTTCAGTGGTTTCTATAGATTTTAAATTTAAGAATAATTAACGATTAGAATGATATTTTTAAAGGGAAAATGTTGGTTGTGGCAAGTAAATTGAATAAAATAGGTAACAATAACCATTGGTTTTTTTTTCTTTTGTGTATCCTCATGCGGCAACAGAAAATAAATAAAAAATTGAATTTTTGTACTTTAAAACAAAATGCATTCGTGTATCACCCTCAAATTCTCGGATGAAACATATAGCATGTTATTTACACGATGTTTTTGTGGTAAATCGTCTACATGTAGCCCGTGAAAGTCCCATAAAAATCGGTTAAGCCGTTTCGAAAACGATTAGTCTAGAACCAGACATCGGATGCACAAATGCAAACACTTAAATAAATTATACCTATTTGTCAATATTACTGTGATACTTTAATATTATTAGTATTAATTTGTACGCAGACGAGCATTATAACAATATGCGGAAAACAGTAAATCGAGCCCACTTCTATTTTAACAGCCGCGATCATCGATTTGGCCGTTGACACCGAGTGAAAGATTTAGAGGGATTGAGCGCGAGTGCGGTGGTATCGTATGTACGCACAGAAAATCTTACAGCGGCGGTGGCGGCGGCAGCAGCAGCAGAAGCGACGGCAGCGGCAGAAGCAGCAGCAGCAACGGTACATACCTAATATTATACACCGGCGAGCGTGACCCCGCAGGATCGTCAGCGGCGGCGGCGGTGGCCAGGATTTGATGACGATCGTAGTAGGAGCTGCGGCGGTAAAACGTTAAACCGGCCGCGCGTCGCACCAATGGCTGGTTGCGGGCGCGGACGGGTGTCGCCGCCTACCGCGCGGCAGGGAGTGGTCCGGGCGCGCAACACACGCGGCGCGCGGCGGCGGCAGCTGCTCTCGCGCGCCACTGCCGCCGCCGCCGCATCAGTGCCCCGCGCGCCGTCAGCTCCCTCAAACGTTCCGCCGCCGCCACCGACGCCACCGACGTTGTCGTCGACGTATTCGTGCCGCCACCGCCGCCGCCACCGTTGCTCCAGTTGCAGCGTGCACCGGACGGGTCATCAACACGTACGCCATCCGCACACGGTCGGAACGACGACAAATAATAATAGTACAGACGACATGATATCATAATAATATTTCGGTTGCGGTTGATATTTTTATAGAAAATAAAAGTACGTTGTCATACAGTGCCGCCGAGTTTTGAATTCGCGCGCTCACCGATTAAGCATACCACACAATACTCATTGCACATACGCCCACACGTATACATAGAACACAATAGGTAAATATTATAATATACTAATAATAATATATTATAAAAACATCGCGCACTGTACCCTAATGAGATATATAATATAATATGTGATTTTGTAAATTTTATTGCACTCGTGAATTATAGTTATGCACTTTAATGTTTTAGGAGATGTGCAGTGTTATTATTTGTTATTCTGATTTTTGCAACAAGAATATAATAACGTAATAGTACCTATTATTGTCGTAGGAATTGGTGGAAACGTGATATAGATGTCTATGGTTATTCATTCGAGCGAAAAAAGGGAACAATATTTTATTTTTTTTCGTAGGTACATATTTATGGTTAGATATAAATAGGTTGACTTATGGGTGTCAATATACCACACATGTAAGCGACTACCTGCACGTATTTTCGCTGTCGTTCGACCTTTTTAAATGACATTATCGAAATTTCAAATAATTGACAGTATTAATGATAACATTTAATCGTGATTGATTATGATCCGTTCGACGTAAAAGTGAGGTTTACATAAATAATAATATACCCATACAATTTTGTATAGGTTCAGTGCATATTGTACGCCTATTATACTGAATTTTCCACTGAATTTCGAATTATTGAGTCTACCGTACACACACATAATATTTATAAATGTATATACATATATAATAGACGTTTGGGTGTATATATTATATATCATTAGGTACCTATACGCTCTATAGTGAACGATGAAAAGAGTTCATAGTGATTTATACTTAATACGGTCCTATTGTACTGACGTGAAAAGGATTACATATATATATTACATTGTATATAATAATGGCTGTCAACGAGTTCGACCGAGATCCTCGGTACCTATAAACAATTTTTTTTTTCGTTTTTACGCTCAACATCTTGACACTTTTTATGAAGGGAAAAAAATCAAAAAAATCGCTGTTTCCTCATTCTGACATAAAATAATAGAACTGTGACCGTACGTTGCAATGTATAATATTTTATAATGTTATACAAGAAATGCGACTTGTTTATCATAACCCGAACAGTGCAGTGGTCTACTTCTATTATTTACATCGAAATCTTTTATATTCTTAAAAAAAAATATATATCGTCAAATATTCGTTTATAGTATATATCATAATATAAGCCATATGGAATAATATAAAACGATCCGTGTCTAATAAATTCGGAAAACCTTACTTATTGTGTGCGTTATGTCCATCATCAAAATTTGACTATTAGTATAAAAATATCGGTTTACAACGGGCTTGTATTTTGCATATTATGCGCATCCGTACCGACTTATATAGGTAATATAATATCGAAGATAATTTGTCTACACACGCATTGGTGATCCCACACTACTAAGATAAAAATATAATAACAACAAAATTATAATGAAAGAATTGTTCGTTTTCTCATCGTTATTTTTCTAAAGTCAATGCGCTACTCATTATTTCGTATACTTTAAAGTTTATTTTATAGAGTGCTTCTTTCTCTATAAAAAAAACTTTAAAGTATCCCTAATTCGACAACACATGTAATACTCGTACTGCAAATGCATCGTTCTAAAATGTTTAATACTAATTATGGGAGGAACCAGCCGTCATCCGATTGATCGCATGATGATGCGTTTGGTTAATGACTATTGAGCACCTCACTTTTTTTTTAGTTTGTAATTATATCATTATAAATTGTACAATATAATTATTTGTTTTAGTACCTATATATATATATATATATATATATATATATATATGTAATATGTATATAGTCAATTATGATTTGGGTTTTTCTCTGCAAACTGTCGTTAATGCTGTTGTTGTTAAATTGTTGTTGTTAAACTTGAGCAACACGTCCTTTAAATAAATAAAATTAATCATAGTTGTGTCGTTTTTTTACCAGATCGCTGCGTCGCTGTGCTCGACCTATATCCGGGACAGTGGGAGATGAATTTAGTGTCCAGGCAGCAGTACGGCAGCGTCGTTTCGTCGTCGCGATCGTACGGCAGCTGCGGCAAATCGGACGACACAAACAGTACAGACGAGGAGGCGATAGTGGACGTAGAGCGGCCGGACACGCCGCCGCCACCGTCACAAATGTCGCTGTCGGCCGACGATCACTCGCGCCGCGTCTGCATCAACGGCGGCAGGCCGATGGCCGCGTCTGCAGTGGCCAGCGCGGCCGCGCTCACCGCATGGCTGAATCCGGCCACGTTCTGGCGGGACTCCGATCAGTGGCGCAACGTGTTGGTCAACTATTACCACATGAACAGGGCCGCGGCCGCGCGTTCTGCAAGGGGCCGTGGCGCAGTCGCCACTTACCGTCCGTCTGCCGTGCCGGCGATCTGCGGCACCGTTCCATCGGTCGGCCGGAAGCCGGTGACAGTCAGCACGGCGAGATCGCAGCCGTCAACGCCGACTACGACGTCTCAGTCCTCTACGTCTTCCCGGCCGAAGAAACGGTACATCTGCACGTACTGTCAGCGCGAGTTCAGCAAGTCGTACAACCTGCTCATACACGAGCGCACGCACACAGACGAGCGGCCTTACCCGTGCGACGTGTGCGGCAAGGCGTTCCGCAGACAGGACCACTTGAGAGATCACAGGTATACAAACAGTAAACAATAATATGTAATATATGTAACCACCTATTGTACCGCGGTTATATTAGGCCCACCACTAGCCGGATTAGAAATCTAAAACAGTGGAAGAGGCTTGCCTCGAGTTGATCGACCGATGTCAACTTTAAACTTAATCGGTACTACGGGAGAGGGGAGCTCCATCAGGCCTAGGACTGGCAGCAGTCTAAAACCTGATGCCCCTCGAGGTTTAAGAGCCTACCTCGGCTGAAACGTAGTGGCTGTGGAATAAACGCTAGCATAGTAACAAATCACCCTACCTTGGAGGGAGGAAGGACCCTAAGGTGAAAACCGACCGCAATCAGAAAAGTATACGGGCCTAGGTCCGGTGCTGGGTGGTTCATATAACGACCAGGAATTGTCTCGATGATTTTGAACCTCTATGGCTCGTAATTAGCTCCTAGAGCTAGAAAACGATACATGGTTGTAAGACCAACGCCATAAACCCTGGATATACTTACTATTATATCGCGTTTATAATCAACGATGACCCGACCTAACATAACCAGATTACCAATGTTTAGTATGCCTAAACTCGTATAATGTATGCGTTTGAAACTGCCGCAGTCAAAATTTAGTGAAATTTGATTAAAAAAAATTTTTTTTATTCGCTTCGACCGTTCAACCTATTTTATTCATAAAACGACTAGATATTTCTGTGACTTTATATCGATATAAAATCAAAATATTAACTCTGAGTGACTGATTTTTAACATGGGTAGTTTCTTTTTATCCTTCATTTGGTAGAACGCTGCCATGTTATTGTTTGTTAATAACACAGATAAATCATAAATGTATCCATTTTTGCAGGTACATACACGTCAAGGAAAAACCATTCAGGTGTCCGGTATGCGGAAAAGGTTTCTGTCAATCCAGGACGTTGTCCAGTCATCGGAGTAATAGGAATTCTATGTGCCTGGACACGACTGTTTTACATCAACAACAACAACGCGACGCCGCCGGCAACGTACGCAGGCCCAAAATGATCACAGACTTTTCTATCAACTCTATATTGAACTTGCAGTAAATCTGCGTGTATTCAATATACAATTATATTGTTTGTTTTCTAACTCCTCGATTATTTTGATCTCAAGTGCGTATGTGACGTTTGAAGAAGGTGAAAGACTATTTTATTATTATTATTATTATTTTTATTGACATTATACACGGCTGTAAAGAATCGATGCAATATTAATTATTATAAATGTTCGGTACATCACAAACTATTGTCGAAGTCCGTCGTATAACGCGGTTTATATAAATATATACCTACTCAAAAATAAAGATTTATTATTATTACTATTATATCGCCCATCGATTCTTCGCCTAGATAAATTTTATACATGCCTACTCCATCATGTCGTGAATCTAACACGTATTTTTGAAATGACAATTGCATATTTTAATATATTTTATGTAGATAATAGATCCATATCATCTTGTTGTATATATTATTATACCATAGATATTAGGTATACTTATTAATATATTATTATTATATGTTTACACTTACAAAGATAAAAAATATTTATTTTTTTGTTATTATTTTACCACGCATTACAGATAATTTTAAATGTAAATCCTTGTAGATTATAATCTACCGAGGTATTTAAATGATTATTTTGACTTTTTTTTTTCATATTATATTATATTAGCCGATAACGCAATAATATATTTTGTTTATTACTATGACATTTTGTTTTACAACTGTTTTTACCAAAGATGTTTAGAAAATAAACTCATGTACTATTTGTATTATAAAATATACCTAAATGTATAAATAAATAAATATTATTATTTGTATTGCAATTATACACATATCACATACATTTAATATATAATATATTATTTTATGCACACCTAATAAATACTTGGTGGATTGAATATAATATATGCATGCAATAAAATGCCTTAAATATGAAAAATTTGTGATATTATTTTCCAATCTGTATAATTTAATATAATCATCGTATATATATTATGAGTTAAGGGTAATATGTAATATCACACGAAACAGATGTTCGCGAATGGGAAAAAAAAAACGAACCGGAGCAGGTGGCGACGACGTAAGTACCAATATGTGTATACCGACCGGCAGTGAGCGACGCACGCGTGCGTTTATTAACTTCTATAATAAAGTATTATACTACCTACACAGAGGTAAATAGACCACCGCCGTCATTTATATACAAGTTAGCTATCATGAAGTATATATATTCTGTATGTACATACACCAATAGGTATAAAATGTATTATGTCCTCGAGCCGAACGCGGTAGCTGATGCAGGAGCAGCAGTTGTTCCTGTACATACCTATTATACCTGTACACATCGCGAGCGCCTTAATTAGATTTAATATAAGCATACGGCAAGGTACACCTATATACATATATCCGTTGCGTGATTTATACCTCCCACCCCCTCTCGAGTTCGCTCTTCCTCATCACCACGGTCGACTTCTCTCGCGTCTGTATATTATATATTACGGTCACGTGCTCGTTGCTACCGGTGTTTAGGATGCCTGTTTTTATAATTGAATAGAATATTATACATGCGTATAACCTATCACCCGTGCACACAGCGGAATTCGATTATATATAGTATATACCTACTAGTGTATTGATTAAACGTGGACCTATAATGTACCTGTTGTAATGTATGTATGCGTTTTCATCTTTGGTTGACGCCCTCACGTCGTGCCACCACCTCCTGCATCGTGATATACTTTGGATTTAACTTATAGAATTACTACTGTATACCACTCGCGGCCAATAGTATAATGTGTCTAATACAACAACATAGGCACATACGTACATAAATACATAATATGTTCATTACTTCAGCGTTATTTTACTCCGATGGGCGATGAACATATTATATATATATTATAATATACCTATATGTATATAAATAGCGTGTTTATAGCGACGGCAATGATAAGTAATGTGTTATAATAAAATAATATAGTAATGGCAGCTGCTTTCACAGCTCCGTCGGCGATCAGCTGCAAAAACAATGTAGCGTCGAGCCGAGTGTATTGCCGCCGATGCAATCAGCTAGCAGTCATAATACTATACAAATAAAATATGTGTTAAGTATATTAAATATTTCGATAATTAATACCACCAACATAGCGTATACTATTTTAATAATATAATATAATAAGGATTACAATGTTATTACGCATATACACAAAAATATAATATAAATGCGCTGTATTTGTCTGATACATTATTTATATAGCTGGTCATTATTGAAATTATTGTTAAGGATTTTATACTTGTTTTTTAGGATGACGGAAACTTCCAAGTGAAGTTTTATATCATGTGTTCTGAATTATCTTTTAACCTAGACCGATTTGATTATTTTTTTAAGTTGTTATAATATAGAAGGTATCTAAAAAATAATAAATATAAACGATAAACAATATGCATATAATACGTTTTGTAAATATTTTAAAAATTTATAATTATTTTTGAATGTTTTAGCTGTAAAAGTATAAAATAATAGTTTTTATGTTATTAAAAAAAAATAAAGATAATAGAGAAAAGTAATGGTATAATTATATAATATAAAATAATATTTCAAATAATTAAAATACCATAATAGATACGATATTTAAAAAAGAAATAATAAGATCGTAGATTCTAAGATACCAATTAAATTATATTAATTGTTAATATATTAACAATATAAATATTTCTTATATAGTACCTACTACCTAGGTTTTAAATTGTTTTTAACTAGTCAACTACCTTTAATGTTTTTATTTAACTATAGTTTAAACACTTAAACCAATAAGTAAATTCATGTTAATCTACGTGACAGTTTACATGATATGATAAATATTTTGCATTTACGCAGATTTCAACTATACTTATAAGTTATATTACATAATATAATAATAAATTTAGCTTAATTAATTAAATAATTATTTATTATGAGAATTTTTTGTTTATACTATAGCTATATTTTTTTAGCGATTTTTTATTTGGACTTTTTTCTTACATTTCTGAAATATATAAATGTTATAGACATATAGTAATAGTATAATAATTATAGTTCACCATTAATTTGCTTCTTGTATAATATGTACCTAATTTATACATGTGTATAGTAAAATTATATATCTAGCTTTTTATATTATGATCCAGGCACCATTGAAAACTCCAATTAAGAAAAATTACTTAAAATGAACAAGAAAAAAATATTTTATAGAAAACAATTTGAAAATCTAATCTTGGTTCAAAATAAATAGTTTATAATATATTTTATCGAGTATAAATTGCACTCATCGCCCATGTGATGCAGTTTATCTTCATAGTAATGTTCTTTTTTATTGATTAAAAGAATAACTAAAATTAGTCAAATTAAAATAAATGGTATATCGATACATCTGAAATAAACAAATTATTAATTAACAACAAAAAATGAGAAAAAAAAACGAAAATTGTAAAATTATAATAGATAATCATGTTAAACTTGTATTACATCATTTTTGTATAACATATTATATTGAAAAAATAATATTTAACCTATTATAAGTTCTAATTTATTGATAATAATATTATAATACAAAGAATAATTATTAAAGAAGTTCCTATACAAAATTGATAAACATGGGCTGTCTACAAGCTATACATAATATTATATATACATGGAAATTATAAGTAATAATGAATACATTTATTTTTTTGATAAAAATTAATAATTCTGAAAGCTTTAAAAAAAAACATGCACTGTAAGATAGCCAAGACAGTTGATGAATGATAGATATTAGATAACAATTAAAGTAGATATTTTCAATTTTAAATTATTATTGGCGTGACTGTGCAATAGTATAACATACTACAAGAAATAAACGATAATATTATAGTCCTGTGAATACTAATATAGAAGTACCTATCTATTGAGATTTGCGACAAAAAAAATATAAATATTTAACTTTTATTCAAATTAAAATCTTTAAAAATTATTTCTTTATTAAAAAAGTCACTATTTATTCTGATTTTATCATTTTTTAAATTCTTAATAACTAAAAAAAATTAAATTAAAGTATTAAAATTTACAAATTTATTGACTTGTAAGTCTAATATTTAAAAGTTGAATTATTAACTTTTAGCTATACATTTATATACATATACCTATTCTAATAGCTAATTTGCTAATTATAGTAGTGAAAGTTTAAGCAGAAAACTGGTAGAGGATAACCTATTATAATACTAAGGGATCAGATACTGGTCCGTAATGAAGAGAGAATAGGTTGTCACACCACCCATTAGTTAGATAACTGTTAAATTGGTTCACGAGAAAAAAAGTCGTCATTCAAAACCGTACTCTTGCCATTCATAACAGTATATTTTAGACTGTTCAATACAGCACAAATATTTTTATTGTTAAAAAGGAAAATTTGAAAGATTGATATTTCAAAATCGCTTTCATTTGATCAATAGTTAAAAATTAAACATTTATACTCAGATTATTGTCGTAAAATTATTCAATATAACAGATCTTATAATTTTCATATTAATTAAAAGTAATTCAATATATAATAAAACGAAAAAAAATATGAATAGTAGTCAGTAGATAATACTTTAAGTTGAATAAATGTACATCATATTGTTTTTTTAAATATTCTATTAAATTATTTAATTTCACTGTATGTGATTTTGTAATTTTGATTAATATAATAGCTGATGTACGGTTCTAAAAAATAATGTGATTTTAGATAAATGTGTGCATTAATGATATAATGATACATATCAGTGGACAACGTGTGTATGGTATTGAACGATTGGATTTTGGATAAGCTGTGAGAAACTTATGTATAAACGTATGCGAATTTGAACAGTGGCCTTTTATTAAAGTGTACGGTTATGCCAACCGCCGGAAAATCGTTATTTTTTCTTCATATTAATTCAATTTTGTCAACATTTAAACTAAAGTAAAAGTATTATGATTTTTATATTTTTAATTACTGTAAGAAAAACGGATTGGGAACTTTAAATTGAATTAAAATTTTTAATTTTTATACCTACAAACTAAACTGTTATTATTCATAAAACAAAAATTAACTCAAAAATTGTATTTTTATATTAAAAGAATATTTGATATGATGATTTCAAAACCATAAACTTTTTATATACTTTTATAAATACAAATTTTATTTTTATTAAAAATAATATTTTTAAGTTTAAATTTACATTTTAATTCCACTGTTATCGGTGGGGCAAACTATACCTCGCGGTTAACTATACGCTATTTGTTTCCATCCCTTTCATTAATAAATCCTAAGAACGTCACTGTGTGTCATATTATATTACCTATAATAAAATCTTTATTTTAAATATTCAGTTGTATAAAAAACTCAATAAAAAAACTTTAAAAATGATATTTTTTTTATAATTTCATGTTTTAACATAATTAATAACATTTTAGTACATTATTATAACTTATCTTTTGTAAATTAATTTAAGCCATTACAGATGCAACTAATTACTAATAAATAATGATTTAATCTCATACAATCCTGCCAAACCATTTGCGTAATTAAAATACTATCATGCGTTATAAATTATAATTTAAGAGTTATAGGATAATGTACTCACCCGTAGTTAACGAACATTTGCGGACAAAATAATATTTTAAATACTTCTTACATAATATGTTATATGACGTATGTACATGTATTTTTTTATTGAACTGAAAAAAAAAACATCAACAATAAAGGTTATTAGTTTTTAATTTTAAATCATAATAAAAAGTTGGTTAAATAGTAAATTTAAATAATTATATAGCCGTATAGACAATATAATATACAGTAATATTATCATGCAGCTACATTTGTTTATCGTGATATTATTATATGAGTGCGTTTAGCGCAAACAACCATATCGGAGTTTTGGTTGGGATATTTATTTGATAATTCTTTGAAGAAACACAGTGTGGTACGATTCACGACTAGGCAATATACGATTGTTCGAGGATATAAGTAAGACGGAATACTCTGAATTATATTTATCACATTTATATGTTTACTAGCTATTGCAGCAGTGGATTACGTTTGGTATAATCTTAAAAACAAATGTATATGACATACGATTATGTGAGTATATGCATCTACTTACATAGTTACATAACATATTGTACTATAAATGACATAGGAGAGTTGTTCATTTTCTGGAATACCCACTATTATTGTCTAAAAGCAAAATGATACTGAGCGGCAAACATCAAAGGTAACTCAAAGAACTAGTACGCCGCACGTACGCCTTTAATATAATATAAGCGGCGTTTATCATAAAGTATGTAACGGTTGGATCTTAAATACAATTGTATTACATATATTATTTGACGGTGTGTGGCATTTTTGACCTATGCTATATATATTCGATTTGATTCGCGGTATAAACACAGCATAAAGTTATACTAATAATGGGGTTATAAAATATATTTTGTTCATACCTACTAAAATATAAATAGTAGCATTGAATTTAGGAAAAATTGATTGTTGTATTTTCAAACGAGGATCGGATGACTCATGCAGTCACGTATAGGTACATAATTTTCTCGCATTTTTTTGTCATGTTAAAATATATGCACAATTAAATACCTAAAAAAGAATACGTATATTATTGTTGCTAGCTTTCTCTTTTGATTTTTTATCTTTCCCGTTTTCAAAGGTTCAACAAAATGTAATTTCAGAAGAATAAAATCTACTATATAGTGCAAATGCTTAAAATACTGGTTTCTCATGTGTAATAATTAATACTTCTATACTTTATTACGGTTACTGGTTAATGCTAACGATTACCGTTGTTTGGTAAATTGTTTTTTTAAACATTTAAAATCAGAAAGTGATTCTTTTAGTAAGACGTTTGTAATTAATCAAAATATTTAATTTGTTTAACAACCTTATTATAATTTTACTTTAATAAATAGAGCAAAATTGATAGTTTTATTACTATAAGCATTATTAATTATTATTATATATTTATATCTACATATTTGAAATAACGAGTCTTTCATAAATATATAAATGATATCTGTGGTGATTTTATTTTTATAATTTAATCATTGATTATGCAGCACTAAAATAAAATTACAAATATCATACAATTCTGACTATAAAACCATAATAAATCATCATCATGATACAATACAATTATTGTTTGTTTGCTTGTTTTGAAAAAGTATAAGGTCTAAAGTTAATATTATACCCTATAGGTACAGGTCTTTTTTATTTTTTTAGATGTTGGCATAAAATACTTTTCTCATTTCTGTCATTTGAATTGTTTCACCTCTTTCGGTTAAACACAGTATTTACGAGCAAAACGATGAAACTATTTTCATCAGCTAAAAGATTTAACCAACATATTTATTCATATATTTCTATCACTGACACATCTTTCTACCAGGAACTTTTAAATCCAAGCTCGAGTTTGGAGTATATTGTGTTTAATGTATTTAACATCTTGCGTTGTAATTAAATATTTTGATTTTTCCCTTAAATATGAACACAATAATTTGGAAAATCATCCATACAAACTTTCGATAGTTTTTCTTTTCAGTCTTTTACTAATAATTTGTTGTTAAAATTTGTTTTCTTCATCTGAATCGCGATTTAGGTCAAAGTTGGACGATTCCCATACAACATATTCGTTGTTACAAATTCTCTTAAAATAAGCTTTATTCCTCATTTAATAAATTTGAATCATATGAAATCATTTTGGAGAAGATCGTGATAGCTGAATTTAAACATATTTACTATTAAAATTAACTCTCCCTTTTGACTACTCATTTTTTCGACTGAATTAATTTTATATTTAATTATGTGGATACGAATTGCGACAAATTGCAATAAACTGTGACAAATTGCGACGAGGTGCGAGTATTACGTTTGTTAATATCAGTGAAGTCTCTTATAAATAATATATGAGTAGTTAAATTGTATGAATACGACTATGGTTGTGACCGTTGAATGTGTTATCGGATTAATGGTTCGATAATTTCAAGCACTGTGTCACTAAAAATATTAAAATCTTGTATTTTTTAAACTTTTATATTTTTAGAACCACTTATTGAAAATTATACTAAGAATTAATTCAATAGTCGCTTTTTCTATTATATTAAAATATAATATCAGTTGAAAACAGTATATATCAACTATTATTTATTGAAATTTACCTAAAATATCTACTACACTGAATAATGAACATATATAATATATATTAAGTATAAGTTTCATGTACCTGTTACTTATCTAACGGAATAGCTATACTATATAGATTTTTATTCTTTTTTTATAATTTGCAGGTGACGACGACAACGTATAATATATGTCATATGTGTATGTTTTTACCTCTAAATAAACGGGACAGAAAAGAAAATAACAGTACTACATATAAACCGTAAAATACAATATATTACTATTTCTGTCAATTTTTTTTCTTGTATGCGCGACAAAACCGTATTATGGATGAAAGTGAAACTGCAGTTATTTCGTCATATCGTATGTGCGTACCTAATATTATATTACGGGGTAAAACGGATGAAAAAATATAAATTATTGTCAAACGTTCAGGGTTGAAAAAAAACCTAGTACATTTTTTATCAAACGAAAGCGAAACAACAACTAAACGCTATTTCTTTCGAAAACATTTTGTTTTTTTTAACTTCAAAAAAGTAGAATATATTTTTTTTCTCTTTTGGTCGTTTGCCGTTAATAACCGTATCGACGACGGGATATTATATTATAATACTTTGTTACAGATATGTATATTTATAGGTAAGTGCATTCGAGACAAATGGGATCCCCTTAAATGTGTATATATATATATATATATATATATATATATATATAAGCTATATATGCGTGTGTACGCGTAGAGGCTATATTATCGTCTTTATATTGTGGATTTGTTTTGGCCAGGAACAGGGAAATGTGGTCAAACAATGTGACGTCCACCAGGAAGAAAAAAATATAGTCTCATGTGTACTGCTGTAAATCACACACATATACAAACGTGAGACTGGCGAGTCTTTTGTGTGCGTTCGTAAAGGATTTGTCGCCGTTCCGGGTTCACGTAGAGTTTGGTGACCCTTTCCCACGTCAGTATAGTGTAATGTGTGTGTACGCCATATTATACGGTCTTAACAAAATTTTTTCTCATTTTTTTTTTTTTTTATTTCTTTATATAGTGTTATACGTGGTGCACTTTACTCAGCTCTAATGGTATAATCGCGTGAAATTTCCTTATCGTCCCGTACACACACGGCTGTATTATACACGACAAAATCGAATTAGTCACTCTCCTGCGTGATCGCGCGTGTATCTCACGCCCTGCGAGAGACCAATAATTTCATCTAAATACTGTGTCGAAGCGGTAAATATATCTACAAAAAAGAAAAATATAAAAAATATCCCCAAAACATTGGTGGTAAGACTTTTTATGCATGCACCTCCTATAATACACAAAATATTATACTTAATATGAGCATACGATAGCTATGTTATATGCTATAACTGTAATTCGTAGTTTGTTTTCCAGGAAATAACTTCAATATTAAATACAGTATTTCTAATGAAATAAATTATAATTGCACAAGTAAACATAAAATCCGAATCATTAAAGTCTAAAAAGCTATATGTGTTTCGATGATTTAAAAGTTATTTTACCTACAATATATTATTATAAAAGATAAAACTTTTAATATCGTTAGTTCAACCTACCGACTATAATAGTACCTATATGGTTATATTATATCTTATCAGTACAACCTATAATTCGTATTCATATAAATCATAACCGTGATAAAGCAGGATTTCACCATCAGGTTTGGTAAAAAAGAAAATTAATTTTAAAATCAGCCAAACTATTTTTCAATTATTAGTTTTAGTTTTTAGCCATAGCATGAATAAGTTAAGAATGTAACTGGTATAATCAAGTAATTTTAAGTATTTATAAAATTATTATTATTTTTTCTATTGTAAAATATAGTATCTTTCTCACGTACAGATCAACATTTGCAGGTTAGTATGAAGTTTATTAAGTGAAGCATACTCTACTAAAAAACGGTAAAAATATATAAATCATAAATATGTAGTTTTCTTATCTGTATATTAATCATAACAATACATTTTTTTTATTACTTCAACAGGTTTTTGTGTTCTAATTTAAATATAGATATTATTTACATGAACTTAGACAAATTTATACAACACCATCTACGTTAATATAAAATAAATTAACCCAAACACTTTTGAATAATTATTTTGTATTTAGAAAAAAAAAAAAAACATTTTCATAGAAATAGACTAAAAATTATTTATGTTATTAACAATATATTTCACTGTCAAATGCGTGATAGCTATTCAATATGTAAATAATACTAAATATATAATACATGTACCTTCCAAATTGTTTTTAATTTTTATTCATAAAGTATGTCTATTTGATGATTGTTTGAGTTTACTTAACTGTAATTATTTTTTTGCTTGACTGTCATATAAGGTCATAAATTAAGCTCAGCGGCATTTTACACTTGTATTTGTTCCGGAGCAAAAGCGAAATTATTTTCTTCATATTAACATATTTCATTAAGCTATCCTCGTTTACCATTGTTTTTGTCGTTTCGATCTGTAGATGTGTAGTTTAATCAAGCCACATGTATTCTTAGCTTTTATTATAATATATTATTAAATTATTATTTATTTATTCAATTAACTTTTGTGGGTTATAGTATATTACACAATATATATAAAAAAATATATAAACATAATAGTTTATGCAGCTTTATCGTTTTAACAAACTAAAAGAATATTTCGCAGATTAATTTAACAATGAACAGTAAACATAATATATGCTATACAATGTATTTGTATTTATATTTACAGATATATTATCATATATTCTTTAAACCAGTGATATTATAATTTTTTATTGATATTTATTAATAATCAATTTAGATTCATAACGGTTTTTGACTAATTGTTCTCCAGCAGTTACGAAATAAAATTCCAAAAATGTTGAAACTTTTAAATACTTTGTATAGGATTTAGAATTTGACAACTCGTGGTTTAAATATAAAATTAGTAGAAATAAATAATAATGTATATATTCACTATCTATGTCATTTAGCTACACTTTTTGTAGTTATGTTACAAATATATGTTATACATATAAACTTTTACCATGGTACAATATTGGTTAAGCAATAATTACGGTTTAGTGACTAAATTATTTAATTAATGTCGTCATGAATATTTCAATTATTGTCTTATGTCAAAGAAGAAAAACAATTAAATACATACCCAGACGAAATCAATTAAACGTCTATCATTGATAATAATTTTAGCTGGCAAAAAACCTTTAATTACAATTTACAATTTACGCAAGCTAAATAATAATAATAATAATAATATTTAATAGTTAATATTTTTTAACAGTTATCCTAGACAACATAACGCACCTACTTAAGATTGATTGTTAGATGTGTATTTATTAAGGTGTTAAAGTTACAATTTATTTCATGAAAACTAAATGAATAGAAATTTGTCAAATTAATCATTTGCCTCAATAAAATGTCTTTGTTAGAATATGTGAGAATATCAGACAAACAATATTTTAAATCGTCAAATTTATCTACATCGGATTTTTACCGAGGAATCAATATGTTTGAAATGAATTAGTACGAAAAGTGTAATAATTATTTTTATTATTAATAATTGTTTGTAAGGCTTTGTCAACGATATTCATATTATTAACCTACTTTTAGTAAGACGTGTAATGTTTATGACATTACCACATATTCTAATAATTTATTACTGCAGGTTGTATTATACAAGTTTAATTAAGTAATGATTTGCAAACTTTGTTATATCTCATAAAAAAAAACCTTATATCTGGTATAACTAATAAATATAAGATCTGTGTGGTAAACATAGTTTAATAATATTTGAACAGAATAGGGGTTATAAGTTATACGGCTTAAAAATCATTTAAAATGTCAATATATTTATAGCAGTGAATTGGGTTTACGGATAATATTTTATTATTTATAATATGGCCGTTTGTGTGAACGTATTGTTGTTATGTTGCCGCTGGGTAAATACTCATAATATGATATCTTTCCGTATAATCTCTTTAACCGATTTCGGTCGGCAGAGATAAATATTATAGAATTATGAATAATATTTACTCGTCAAACCACTTTAAAATGAAAAACGCGTATAATTTTTCGATATATCTAAATCGACATGTGAACTAGGTATCTCTATATGCATATGAAGGATTTATGACTGAGTCTAGTTGACCACTATGCATGATATAGATGATATAAATTGTTGTAAACATTATTAAATTATTTAATACCTATTAAATTTTTACTTAAGTGGAGTGTTCATCTTGTGAATCCGAAGATGAGTCACAAGTCGATTAATAATTTTGCTTAGCATATGTTTATACATTATAAACGATATATCTACCCTATGGTTAAAAAATAATATCTGCCACAAAATATGATCGAGATGAGGACACACTGCTCTCGTCACACAAGTGCAGTTAACTTCGTACATACAGGAGTGGTATTTAGAAAATATTTTCAGACTCGACAAAAGCTGGATAATTCATATTTTATTATAAGAATCATTCGTAGCACGAAATTACACTTATACGAGGTTGTAAAAAATAAAATATATTCCATCGATCCACTCTAGACGCACACGCGCAACCAATTTTTTTCTGAGGCGGTTGCAAAAGTCTCGTCGGCACGCCACTATAATAATATGTATGATATTATGATGAGTGCAGCATAATATCATCGTTGAACCGTGCGAAACCGGTCGTGCACTCGTTTTGTGTGTGTATATAATATTATGATAATATAAATACAACTGGTGAGCACAGTGTTCGTACCTATTAATAGCTAGTACCAAATCAGAGTAAGCATTTAGCATACCTATCGGTTTATGTGTGCGATATGGTGAGAAATAAAGCGAAAATTATTATACTTTTATTATCGGACGTGCGCATTTGTCTCCCGCGGCGGAACCACGAAGAAACGCGTGGCCCACAATAAAATTGTAATAATAATGTATATATTATAATGCCCATATTATATAATTACACGCTGCGGCTGCAGGTATTTATCTGCGCGATTCTGATCGGGTTTCGCCATCAGTTTTTAGAGGAAGGTGTTCACGACGAAAGCGAAAATCGCCAATACCCGAGATTCCTGCGACCGGCGCTTGGTCACGGAACTTAGGCAGCGTGAGAAAAAAAAATAATACTCGTTATAATACAACCGCTGACATGCGCTTCACCACCGCCGCCGGTCAATAAAATAGACAAATGATTGCAAAGACTTGACAATATTGTAGTATTCTAATATATTGTGTTATACACGTTTCAAAGATATTTTATCGCGTTATATTTTTTATTTATGCATGGAAAAACAATCGAATTTCGAAACGATGTTATTCTTCCCTTTTAAAATAGAAAAAAACTTCAAAGCGGTTTACTCTCACGTGTTACCAGGTTACCTATATATACTCGAGATATAAGTAGTTTTTCAAGTAAATCAGAAAACGGTGTAGTTTTTTAATTGCGAGTATTCGCAAAAAGTGTACAAATTAATAATTATATATAAGTGGAATGGTCGATTTGTTAAACTACTCTACATACCATTGGTTATGATTATCTTTTAATACCAGCTATTTTAGAGAATATTTAATCCTATAATTGCATGTATTTAAATACAATCTATATTGTACAGTCACTTCCTATGTTCTTACTACTATATTTCAATTTATTAATAGCATATAACATTTTATATTTAAGACTTAAGCTATGAAAATAAGAAAAAAATAATATTTTTAAAAAAGTGTTACTATTTTACAGTGTTAATATAATTATATTAACTTATGAAGTACGATAAAAATTTTCTTAATTGGTAAAAAATAATAATTATTATTAGAAAAGCTGCAATTCTTCTAAAAAAAAAGTCTCCTACTTGACATACGCGCCTAGATAAATATTTTTTTTAGAAAATTAATTTGTACTTTATACAACTTATAACGAGTTTTATACACATCAAAGTTATTCTCCAAAGTTTTATTGCTCGGTTTATTCTACCTATTATATAATAAATTACGTATTATATTTGCACAGCCCACGAAAGACATTTAGTATTAATGCTTCATGGAGCCAATTACCACGATATCGGCTCTTTTAAGTTATAGCTTAAGCGTATTTATAATACTATATAATAT